TTTCATAGGTAATAGCAACATCCAGAAAGGTTTTAGGTATTGAGAGATGTTGTAGCCATGAGAAAAATGACAAGATTCTGTGTTTATTGCAAGAAAAACTCCTGTCCTATCTATCAACTGATGATAACTCTATCAGGCACGATAGGAAAGTAATTCCTTCCGTTGATTTTTGCGCATTTCGAACAGTTTTGGCTGATACTACATGGCAAATAAACATGCACTGTTTTAACGTGATACAATTATAACTTCGTTTTTAAACAGGTTTATCCTGACGTATTTTTAGAACTTAAACTAAATCATTATCGATGTCTTCTAATCATTTATAAAGTGATAAACTTTGTATTAAAGTACATTCTGGGTGAGTTTATGGGATCATGTTTTATTTTGGTATCAGTACATTTATATTTTCCACTATTGTAATAGACCCAATCGCAAAATTACAGATTTGTCTTGACATGACTACTTATCAATAAGATCCTACGTGGAAGTCACATTGTCTGTTCTGACTCGTCGTATCATGACAATCAGTAATACGACATACAGCACCTTTGAAAAACACATTAAGACTGAAGACAGAATAATATATTTTAATATGAATAGGAATTTGACACAAGGATGACCATGTCTGCAAGGCTTAGCCATGCCATGTTGGCCAATTCTTCCCGTGTTCACATCAGAACATTTGTAAATCGTGACAATAGCCATCGGAATATCTTCCCGTGTTCACCACTGTTGAAATCCCCTATGCATGAAATGTTGAATGTGAATTTTCTCAGCTATCTTATGTTCAGCTTCGAGGACCGTATGGTTTTAACCAATATGACAACACCGCTCTTCAACCAAAATCAGCGTGGCGTTGGTTTAATATTAAACTGAGTAACATAACTGAACGTCGGAGGTCACCAAAAGGATAATAAAAATGCTCCGGGTACTGATAAACTGAAAGATAAATCAAAAAGAAGGTGGTAGCAACTGATCGAGAAATATGCGTAATAATTTTAAAATGTTTGGTTTAACTCTGAACATGCTCAAAGTGAGAACCTAAGTAGTTATCATCCAGGAGTTAAACAAATTGGGGTTATATTACTTACTTACTTACTTACGCCTGTTACTCTCAATGGAGCATAGGCCGCTGACCAGCATTCTCCAACCCACTCTGTCCTGGGCCTTCTTTTCTAGTTCCATCCAATTCTTGTTCATTTTTCTCATGTCTATCTCCATTTCTCGGCGTAATGTGTTCTTTGGTCTTCCTCTTTCCCTTTGGTCTTGAGGATTCCATGTGAGGGCTTGTCTTGTGACGCAGTTGGGTGCTTTCCTCAATGTGTGTCCTATCCACTTCCAGCGCTTCTTCCTGATTTCTTCCTCCACTGGGATCTGGTTTGTTCTCTCCCACAGTACGTTGTTGCTAATGGTGTCCGGCCAATGGATCTGAAGTATTTTGCGTAGACAATTGTTAATAAACACCTGTATTTTCTGGATGGTGGCTTTCGTAGTTCTCCAGGTTTCTGCCCCATACAGTAGAACTGTGTTGACATTTGTATTGAAAATCCTGACCTTGGTGTTGGTTGACAGTTGCTTTGAGTTCCGGATGTTCCTCAGTTGTAAATATGCTGCTCTTGCTTTGCCGATCCGCGCCTTCACATCCGCATCAGATCCACCCTGTTCATCAATGATGCTGCCCAAATATGTAAAGGTTTTTACATCTTCCAAATCTTCTCCGTCAATTGTGATTGGATTGGTGCATTCTGTGTTGTATCGGAGAATCCTGCTTTTCCCTTTGCGTATATTGAGACCTATTGCTGCTGAGGCTGCTGCCACACTGTTTGTCTTCTCCTGCATCTGTTGTTGCGTTTGGGATAGAAGGGCCAGATCATCTGCGAAGTCTAGATCATCCAACTGCATCTTAGATGTCCATTGTATCCCGCGCTTTCCTTCAGACGTTGACGCCTTCATGATCCAGTCGATCACCAGGAGAAAGAGAAAGGGTGAGAGTAAGGAACCTTGCCTAACACCGGTCTTTACTTCGAACGACTTTGTCAACTGTCCTCCATGCACGATTTTGCAGTGTAATCCATCATATGAGTTCTGTATGATATTGACTATCTTCTGAGGCACGCCGTAGTGTCGAAGAAGTTTCCATAGTGTTGTTCTGTCCACGCTATCAAATTCCTTTTCGTAGTCAATGAAGTTGATGTAGAGTGATGAATTCCATTCAATTGATTGTTCCACAATGATCCGTAGAGTTGCGATTTGGTCTGTACACGATCTATCCTTACGGAATCCGGCCTGTTGGTCACGAAGTTGGGCGTCTACGCAGTCCTTCATCCTGTTTAACAATATCCTGTTGAAGACTTTTCCCGGTATTGAGAGAAGAGTGATGCCCCTGTAGTTATCACACTTGCTGAGATCGCCTTTCTTCGGTATTTTGATCAGTAGTCCTTCTTTCCAGTCTGTTGGTACTTGTTCCTCATCCCAAATCTTATTGAAGAGAATGTGGAGTATCCTTGCAGTTGCCGCTACGTCTGCTTTTAGTGCCTCTGCTGGAATGTTGTCCGGTCCTGATGCTTTGCCACTCTTGATTTGTCTGATGGCCATGCTGATTTCTTCAATTGTTGGTGGGCCAACATCGATTGGGAGGTCCGTGGGTGCTGCTTCGATGTTGGGTGGGTTCAGTCGAGCTGGTCGATTCAACAGTTCTTTGAAGTGTTCTACCCACCTGTTTTGTTGTTCCTCAATGTTGGTGATTACCTCGCCTTCCTTGCTTTTCACTGGTCGTTCTGGTTTGCGACGATTTCCAGAGAGTTTCTTTGTCGTGTCATACAATTGTCTCATGTTTCCTTCTCTTGCAGCCTTTTCCGCCGTCGTTGCTAAATCTTCCACATATTTACGTTTGTCGGTTCTGATGCTCCTCTTCACTTGATTGTTTATTTCTGTGTATTCAGCTTGTGTCTTGGCTTTTTCTGCTCTTGTTCGACTGGTAATAATTGCTGCTTTCTTGTTCCTCCTTTCTTGAATCTTATCCAGTGTATCAACAATGATCCATTCCTTGTGATGGTACTTCTTGTGACCCAGGACCTCATGACATGTTGAAATGATTGCCTCTTTGATCCCCTTCCAGTTGCTCTCCACAGTAGTTCCTTGTCCATTGAGTAGATCATGAAAGGCCTGGAACTTGTTGCTGAGTATTATCTTGAATTCGTTGAGTTTGTCAGTATCTCGAAGAAAGGCCGTATTGAACTTTTGTGATATTGTCCGCCCCATTGTCCAGTGCTTCTTGAGTTTCAATTTCATCTTGGCGACCAGCAAGTGATGATCTGATGCTGTATCAGCTCCTCTCTTGGTTCTCACGTCCTCTATAGTCCTCCTGAACGTTTTGTTGGTGCAAATATGGTCGATTTGGTTTTGTGTAGAGTGATCCGGTGAAGTCCATGTGGTTTTGTGTATGCGTTTATGTGGGAATATGGTGCCGCCTATGACCAGTTTATTGAAGGCACATAGGTTTGCAAATCTCTCACCATTTTCGTTTCTTTCTCCCAGTCCGTGTCGTCCCATGATGTCTTCATATCCAGTGTTGTCCGTTCCAACCTTGGCGTTGAAATCTATCAGAATGGTCAGGTCCTTTGTTGGGCACTTCTCGACTATTGACTGCAGCCTATTGTAGAATTGATCTTTAGCGTCTTCATTGTAGTCATTGGTAGGCGCATAGCATTGGATGATGTTCATTGAAATGCCCTTTTTCTTTGTTTTAAACGAGGCTTTGATGATCCTTGGTCCATGAGATTCCCATCCTATAAGCGCATTTCGCGCTTGTTTGGACAGCATCAATGCAACACCTTGTGTATGTGGTGCATTTTCTTCTTCATAGCCGGAGTATAACAGAAGCTCTCCTGAAGTTAGTCGTTGTTGTCCAACTTGCGTCCAATGTGTTTCACTGATCCCAAGAACCTCTAGGTTGTATCTCCTCATTTCTGCAGCAATTTGGAAGGCTCTCCCGGTGTCCCACATTGTACGAACATTCCATGTACCTAAATAAATGGTCGCTCTGGTTGTCAGAAGGGGCATCGGCCTCGTAACTTCCGAAGGAATTCGGCTTTCAACATGAGGCGTCATAGTCCTTTTAAATGAAGACCTGACTCCCGGGGCAGAGTTTAAAAGGTTTGAATCAGTCAGCCAGTCATTAACGACGTACATCAGTTCGGGTTGCCACACTACATTAGCACAGAGATGCAGTGGTCGGTTCAAATCCCGTAGTGGTAGAGGTAATAAGAGTATAAGCTGTAATCAGGTAAATTAGTGTTTGGAGATGTTATTTAAAGACTATAATACAGTGAAATAAGACTGGGAAGAGAAAAAAAAGAGACAAGGAGGAATAAGGAGATCAAAATTTAGCGAGTTAGTTTTCTACGGGATGGGAACGCTAACCCCATGCCCAACTTTCCTCCTTTATCCGGGCTTGGGGCCGGCAGTAGCCTCCGGAGGGACTTCAAGCGGAGTTAAGAAACATCTCGCTTAAGTAAAAACCTTCTGTACATCACTTATATTTTTGAGGACTGCATTGGTGTGACTGAATGGGTGGAAAGATTAGGGTATGCAGTAACGAACAAAACTCTTGATGGACCACAAAAATCGAGGCGACGATGTTCAACGAACTGCCGATAAGTTTCTTCGTTAAAATAACGATTTCTAAGTTAATTCGTTAGTTTCAGTATTTATCGTTACTTTGCGTTTTGTGGTGCCGTTTTAATAATTACTTTTACTGGAAAATCTTTAGAAGATCAAAACTAGCTTATCATGGCACCAAACTAAGAACTATAAAAAAATCCATGAAAAAGCTAACTGGTTTTTTCATTGTGGATGTATTTTTAAAAAATTGTAGTGAGAACAAGAATATCAAATAATAATTGATAGACTCCATGATTATCTGCATAATTATGTGATGTTCTTCATATTTCTGGGAACGATCATATCCAACCGTAAAACTAGTTTTCTTTTATTGGTTTGTTTCAATGAACTTTATGGTTCAGCGCTCACTCAACTGTTTTTGTTGTTAATACATTTATTGTTAAGATGGCAACTCTTGTTGATGCAATACAGAGGAAACAGGAAAAGTTGACAGAAAGTCACATTTTAGTTGGCCACATCCAAAAGACATGTAATCGTGACGGATCGAATATTCTATTTCCTACTCGGACATTAACAATGGACTCTCAAGATATAAAGAGCATTGGTTGCAAGGATGAATTGCTAAAAGCAGCTGAACATGTTAGGGAGTTAGATTTGGCTTGTAATCGGCTGTCTTCATTTGAAGAGGTGTGTGTTTCTATTCGCTGAATAATTATAGTTTGGTATCCATCCAAAGTTTAGACGTTTTTTTCATTGATAAGTCCAAATTTCAGTAAATAATAGTGGCTTTATCGTATTTATCGAGGCGCTGGTTGTGTATGTATAATCCTATCCGGTTTCCAGAAAGCTTTTTGTCTTGAAATGTATTAGGCTAACAGTTATGGGGCTCATCAGTCATAAACCTGTGTGTTGACTGTTGTAACAGTTTTCTTAATTTGTGTTGTAATAAAAACGTAAGACCAACCACCTCAATAGGACAAAACAGTAACTATAACTGGAGTGGGGAGTTATGATTATTAAATAATGCTAGAAAAGTTAACTCAGATGATATAAGATACTTTACCGGTATTACAGCATAAAATAGTTCCCTTTGAGCTGATCTCAAAGATTTTGAGCTTAATTAATTATGGTCAGCATCAATAATGTTGTTTGGCGGTATCGTGTTTGAAAACTATCATGCACGGCTCGCATTATCTGTCAGTGATTTCTACTAAAACTATGTAGTCTGCATCAGTCCTATAAGTCCATTTCAAAAGTAGTTCGTTCAGCACAACCTATTTGGTTTCTTTGTTGGAACAGTCATCTTATAGAATATCAGTGGGATTACAGGGAAACCTAACTATTGGCAGAACTACGAAACTATTGTGATTACCTAAATTGGTTGTGAGCATTGTAAAATCAGTAAGCGCGATTTATAATGATCTGCTATACTTAGTATTAATAATGATTATACCGTACTCTGAACAGAGATTTATCTCATATATTTTTAGACTTAATGGAGAAGATCAGTATGTGTCTATTCCGGTCTTTGACCTCAACGTGAAATGCAATCATATAGGATAGTAAATATTTATTTTGGCTTTTTCTGCTACATAGTATTATAAGTTCGTTTGAAGCAGAGGTTAATATTACTGACTGGTCACAAGCTAATGTTTGTTGCATTTGGTTTCAAAGCCAGCTTGCAAAAACTCACAGCAAATCGATCTCAAAGGTAGGCACTACTTGTAAGTTTGGGGTTGAATATCTCTTCATTGAAGTTTTTAGTGGGTAGATATGCTGTCTGAACTGATAAACATCTAACTCAAAGCAAAAATCAGTTGTTTCTAATTTTTTACTAAATACTATGGAGTTTGTCTTTTAATAATAAGGAAATGACCGGATGTTTCACTTAATCTAGCTTTAAGGTTGCAGACCAACTGTTCGCTGTTTAGATAATTATTATTTAACTAATTAACTCACCTAGCTTCTTATTAATTAGCAAATATATGGCAGCACTGTAATACGAAAGTACCCATACAATATTTGTTTTTGACTAATATTTCGTGATGTTTATATGTTGCTTGTTTTATCTTTTTAGGTATTTAAAATTCTATGTTGGCTTGAGAAACTTGAATCATTAAATTTAAGTCAAAACCCACTAGGTTGTCATATCTCTGATAACCAATCTTCCAATTCATCTTTTGATGAAGATACTATGGGTTTATTATCTACTGAAGGAGAAGAAAATATTCAACCTATGAATAGCTCTGAATTATCTATACAGGATCAAAATTATTTTTATTTTAACAAACTCTCATCTTCATCCAAGTCGAATAAAATACTTCAGTCTAAACATAATGAAATTGATTTCTCACCAATTTTTCACAATGAATCCATGAATGATTCAATAGAAAAAATTAAGTCGACTAACCATCCAAATGATGGTGTTGGTAGTAATGGTAATCTCAAACAAACAAGAGGAAATGAACCATCTAACATGAAAACGCTACCAAAGGTAAATGTTCTACCAAATATAAACCGTTAGACGGAATTTTTTCATTTATATACTGAATTGGTTAGTTATGGAGATCAGTTCAATTTTGAGACGACTTTCTTCACTGATTAATCTCAATTGGGGAATTTTTGAAGCCACCTAGCGCTGGATAGTCATCCCCTTCAATTTTTAGACTCCTCAGAAGTGTATATTTACAGTCCCGACAGGAATCATATCGTTTAGGAAATTGAGTCGTGATCAAATGTTTTAAATTTCAAAATTTATTTTCAAACTAGAACAAAACATTTGTCCAGCGTCTTTTGGTTTTCGATCATTACCCAGTTGAAATTGACCCGTGATGAAAATTAATTCGGAATCATTTATTTATTCATTCAGCTATCGTAATGTTTATTCGATGGGCTTGATCCGTCTGAAGATAATTTCCATATTATTTTGGTACTGAATCAAGAACATCGATAACAAGTTCTTCCGATACATTTGAATAATTTACTGAGACGATCCCAATCAGGACTAATGTTATAAAATTAGAACTCAGTATGCATGTCAACAAGTCACTGTGTTTGATCATATTACTCGAACTGTTTTGTAATGGTATATTACGCAGTGCTGACAAACTTCTAAAACCTGTTAAAACGAATGCTTCAATCATTCAAATCAAGCACAGTGTCTATCATAAAAAAAGCTGGAGAATCTGATTCCGGTTCCCGAAAACAGTTGTAGGTATTACGTACGAGTGAAAAATCTCAAAGCAACTGTATAGTTTCGCTCTAGACTTTAGTATCGTTTAAAGTAAAATCATTTCAGAATCGGGATCTCCTTGCGAATTAGTATATTTCATATTAGGCTTGAAATTCGTTTCTGCGTTAATGCATAATTGTGAAACAACCTGGTCTATCATCATAGAGTATAGATAAGATAACAGTGTCCAAACATACGTTTCTTCTAATTATTGCTAGAGTATGAGAGAAATATCACTTAAGAAATGGTTTTGCTTGCTGTAGGATACTAAGTTAAGGTGGCATGTTATTGAAACCTTAGACTTGGAACGGTCGGAAGATGTTGTCCCTATGCTCAACCACCTACTTCTGAATACTGTGACGGTCAGCATAGAAAGTTGTAGGATTCCTTGATGGAGTTTTCGTGATAACTGTAAACAACGGTTTGTAAACTACATTATATGGCTGGAAATCAATTGTAGGGGTGTAGATTTTATTTATTTTCTGTCTTAAGTTGAGTTTCCAGTACTATGTTCTATATTTTCGTTTCTTATGTTTTCATTTGATCTTTTTAATTGTGGCTGCTGTTAGTGTTTTTACTTTTGTGGCAATGCCTAAACTGATGAAGTATTTGAACGTGTCGATCGCTTCACTTGAAAGTCTCATCAACCCTGGACGAATGGTGTCTGATAAAGCCTCAATTGGCGTTTATCAACTTGCATCACTAGTGACGTAGGTGAGATATTCGGTTGTCAACCAAAGGGTCGAATATACCATGCGGTAGTTCGCTCTGTTCTACTTTACGGTTGTGAAGTTTGGGTTTTAAAAATAAAGGATATTCGTACGGTACAAGTAGCTTTACAACTGTACGTTTGGATTCAACTACCCTCACCACCATCATACCCATCATATATTCTTTCACTTTAAAATGATCCAGAAATTAAATATCTTTCAAAAGTACAAGTTGACAAACAAATGAAATTATTCATAGTTAAGTTCTATCTTTATTTCAGTCAAATCGCAATGTGTTTTTTTCGTGAATAAAAAGTACATTTTCTTCCTTACCCAAATATTTTCTACACTTTCTTTACGCAAAACTATTATTTTTGTTACTATTCTTCTTCTTCTTCCATTCGCTTTAAATTTTTTCCAAATTTTTGTATATATTTCATTCTACTCCTTATTTACAATTAATTTCCAATGCAAATATTACAACAATAATAACAACATGCATATATAAGGAAGATAATTGTATAATCAGGTGATTGGCATGATTTACTTACCCAACCGTATGACTTCATTATGCCATCATATGACCAATCAACTTGTATGCATGTGTGTGTGTGTTCATATATATATATATATATATATATATATATATATATATATCACTGTTATTGAATAGTGAAATTTCAATTGGCGGAACCTAATATTTATTTATTTCTTTTAAATAACTTCTTTGTCTTCGAGCTATTATTATAGTTGTTCCTTTTTTGAAGATTGATAGAAATACTTTAAATTAGTTATATAATAATATTTATTGCTTTTTTTGATCTGATCAAAATGTTTTTAATGTAAGATTGAAACTAGTTGTTTTACGAGTTCAATTTGTTTAAATATTAAGATATAATATCCATTAAAAAATAAATGAACTGGTGATAAGGAGTGAAGTATTTGAACGTGTCGATCACTTCACTTGGAAGTCATAAAACGTTGGGAGAGAATTAGGGATGGATGAATCAAGATTTATTATCGGTCTATGGAGTCATTGACTTTTGATGTGAGTCATGTTGGTAGGCGCAGATTACATCCGATTAGGATCGATGCAGTAACCTCTATGAGTAGTTGGAAAAGCTAAGTGACATAACTCGTAATTGTTCATATTGACGCGGTTGCATCCACTTTATTTTTCAAAAGCTATTCTGGTATTCATTTTTACATACCACTGGATTACTTCTCGAACCATATCCTCAATGTTTAGTCTTTCTTACAATGATTATTGCAACTGCTTTATTACTCATCTTAATTTCACATTACTGTCCTTATATGGTGCGGTAACTCGAATTTATCCACATTTGTATCAGGCTTCATATTGATTATAACTGGATAACTGTCCTACAGTTATTGTTTACTCAGAAAGTCTCTCATTAGCTTAACTTCTATGTGCATAGAAAAGTTTTGTTAAACTTAAGAAGGGTGTAAATCATATGGTAGAAAACAGCTAAAATAATTTCAAACTGGTCTAACGGACGAAATGAATGTATTTTGCAAGATTATATATATATAACTAATCTAGGTAAACATAAAGTATACAGCCGGACGACCTCAGAGTTTTAACCGGTTTAAGTTGGTTAGGAGACGACAGAGATCATTGGATAGATTTTCTTGCTAAGAATTCAGATTGTGATACGGATATAAGGATCCTGGCATTATAGCTGATATCAGTTTGTGATGAAAAACCTAACTCTAACTCCCAATACTCAACGCCCAATCCTATCTTTATTTTGATATTTGTGCTATGAACTTAAAAGGCTTTTTTTCCTCATTGGTTCGGCTGTATACTTCATGTTAACTCTAATCTGCTCCCTATCCTTGTCCTCTGGTTAGACGCTAGGTTAGAAGGGATTCGAGAGTTTATAAATATTTAGTTGTTATCTGTTGTTCGTTGGTCACTGACCCTCCAGGCAACATGGGCGAACTAATCGATCATCGGACTAGAGAGAGATCATGCAAGTGTTGTTCTGTAATTACAGCCCGATCACACGGACCCCAATATAACTCAAGCATTTACTTTTTTCCGTTTATATGAGCAACAATTTGAACTAATCCTTTATTGGCCAAGCTTCATGATTATTGTATAATAATCTGGTAATAATGCATTTATCATATATGTATTATCATGTTGCCGTCAACTTAATTTTATTTATATATAACATTTTCCTATTAAATTTGTAGCATCCTTCAGCTCCATCTGAACTGGCTTTAAATTCCGGTATTATATCTCCTACCACAGTGTTTCCTTGTTTAAGTGTACTAGCACTGAATTCGACGTATGTACCATGGGATTGGGTGATTGATCTGCTTTATCGACTACCAAAGTGAGTTATAACAAAGGAAACTTTTGTCATGAGCAAATATTAAAGACTTCATGAGGTAATCTATTTTTAACGAAGTTATTATTATTAAACTATACAGCTGAAAGTATATCGTGATAGTTATAGTGGAAATATTATTTCATTTTGTGTGTGTGTGGGGGGGGAGGTTGAGATATGCAATCTGTCATTTGAATTGATCCTATCCCTGAGTGATGTTGATGTTTGCTCAACAACTCCTGCCCCCACAATCCACACAGATACAATTAAAAAACAAAATAACTGGATCGTTTTCTATGTGACGGGTTCATACATTTACTTTACTTGGAAGTATACATTGTTAAAATTCATATAATCAAGAAATAGTAATGATTTGAATTATTCCATTGTTGATATTCAACACTGAATTTTCGATCAAGCTTTGTTGAGACATGTGCATTCTCCATGTATTGCATCAATACAGCTATTTTATCACAAATTTTAGTAAGGTTGAATAGTAGCTAAGAGAGGAATTTAGGGCGCGTATTTAATCTTATTTGGGACTTATCTGTAGCTGTCATTGTGAACATCAACAATGCTGAAATGTAACAGGTATATCCAGATGACAAGTTAAAAATAAGATAAAATATGCCTCTTGAATTCGACTGCTAACCACAGTTCATCTATTTTAGAAAATGATTAAATTTCATTCGAACTACAAATAAGCGTAAAATACAGATTTTATGCAACAATGAAATTAAAAACTGTGTTATAAGGCTCATTTATTGATCACTGCTATCAACAATGTAGCTTAAATGAAATATCATTTTCATTAAGATTATGAACTGCTCAATGTTAGATTACCATTGAAAACCTGGAAGCATTGGACTTTTGCAAAATGTTTCTTACTTGACTCAACGCATAACTTTCAAATGATTCAGAATTGAAATATCTGTCTGTTTTAGCGTTATGTACCAATTAAGTTTGATATGATCAACTTTTCTCGCAATAAGATGCATTAATAATCACTTGAGAAAGCTTCTAGTCATAGAGTTGTTTTCGCCTAAGTTTACTCTTTTTATGTATATATACATGTCTTAACAGTGAATATTCATAAAATTTATTTGTTCAGATAATCTTTCTAAAAACTAGTTTTTGGAAAGTTTAGCATCATTTTAGAGTACTAGTTAGTGAGTGATGTGTATAATCATTCAATATTTCACACACACTATCTAATTGATGGGTGAATTGACCTCATCCATGTATATCTAGGATGTTAGTATCGTACGTTATACTGCTATATATATATATATATATATATATATATATATATATATATATATATATATATATATATATATATATATATATATATATATATATCACAGCGTAGATAAACAAAACATCTCTTTATACTTGGAATTTTCCACTTTACTTCGTAAACACGAAACGTTTTAACAATTTGTGTATCTTACATCATAGACTGACCTTAGACAAACATTCGAAAATAGGAAGGATTGGATAACTGTCTCATCATAGTATGGGGCTCCTCAGCAGTACAAATCCTTTATATGATGTTCCTGTGTTCAATCTTAAGTGCTAATCTTGGGTGCGTACTGCTAAGGAGTTCCATGCTAGGATGAGACAGCTGTTCAGTGCTTCCTAGTTTTCAACAGTTATTTAACCAAGTTTGGTCCGTGTTGTAAACTGCAAAATTCAATAATCTCCAGAAAATCGCCTCCTCCCCCTGTACTAATAAATATATTTATATTTAATATCCGTATATTTTTAAATCTATTTTCAGCTTAACCGATTTACACGTTGCACGTAATAATTATGGAGCAGAAGAGCAGACTGAAGTATCTTCTGATCATAATGATGATAATGATGCCACACCATTACCTGTATTTCCTCATTTACACAGTTTATATTATAGCGATAATGGCATATCGAATTGGTGGACAATATGTCGTTTGTGTAAACATTTCCCTGGATTGGAACAATTGATTTTATTAGGTAATCCTATTGAACATATACCATTTCCGCAAGACAATTTACATACATCTCAGCATACTACAACAACAACAACAACTAATAATAATAATAACAATAATAATAATACTGATAATAATATATCAAGAAATACTTGTTATCAGCATCAGTGCTTATTTCAAAATGTACATACATTAGGTTTATCAGAAACACTAATCAGTCAATGGGAAAGTATTGATGCTTTGAATGAATGGATGCCTAGTTTAACCAATTTACGATTAGGCAATACTTTACCTGTATTTCAGGTATGTTTTTTGTTGTTATTATCTGTCTGTTCGTTTACTCTTTTTTGGAAAATTATTACTTCATTAATGATTATATCTATTACGAACTAATGCTAGCTGGATAACTTTTAGACATCAAAAGATATTGAGTAGATGTCACGTTTGCCTAACGATAACTTACCTTGACGGGTGGTATTTACTGATATATATGTAAGTTGAAAGGTGTCTAAATGAGGTAAAATCAAGATGTGACATCAGTTCATAAAGTAATTGATTGTTGAAATGAGTCTTGTTGGTATATGAAGACTGGTTGGGATCTGTCCTATTATTGTGATAATCGTAAGAAATGTTGAGTGAGATGATTCGGAATCAGTCTCAATGGTGCACAGATGTATTCACTTTTCCTATTCTTTTAGATCTTAAGTTTTGGAATTTTTTACACTTTTTATCTCACGAATTCATTCCATCTCCTCGATTTATATTGTCTATGGCTAATCTAATCTACTCCTATTGATACTATTACCACTACTACTATAGTGAATGAAGATTTGGTATGAAACATCAACTTATTGTTTGATGCAAAATTACAGAGTACTTTCGTAAAATATGAAAACTATGCATTAAATACATTATTTGCACATCTTCCTTCAGTTGTCTCTTACATGCTTTATGATTCTTTCAATTCTGTTATTATTACAAATACTCTCTGTTAACATTCCTGTTCTCTTCAATTCAACCTTCTACTGGCAGACATTCCAAATTCCGATTGCTGCTACATACTACTAATATCTGTCAACATAAATAGCATACACCACATTACTACTGTGGGATTTATCTAGATTTTTTAAAATCACTTTGCTATACTCATGTAATGTAATGACTTGAATCGATACAGATATTTGTCATGTTCCACATTGTGTTATAATTGATCAACTGACATAAGTACTATACTTCTAAATCGAGTAAATTAAACTGTACCAAGTAGCTAAATGAGTTAATCTAATTTTGTTAGCTTCCAAAAGAAAGAAAAATAAAAAAAACTTCTGACCAATCTGAAACAATTGTTTTGTATATTGTATTTCAAATATCCCTTATAATATGAACTTTAAATCATAAGTACAAATTAATTCTATTTTATAAGTTCATTATATTATTGTTTATATTGTGGTTACTAATGTAATAGGCTTTAATATTATTGTTAATTATTAACAATCCTTTTTTTCTTCGTTTAAAATGGGCATCAATAATGTTACATTTAATTCAAGGTCATTCCATTACCCATCATCATCTAAGTAGAGAAATTCACTTGGTATTGTTTTACTTGTATCTTCCCATTGTTATTTAGGACTGCAATTGATCAGTCTCATGTTGGCATATATGTATCCTGTGCGGATTGCCTCGGTATAGCCTTAAGTCACAAACTTTCTAAGCAAAGATGGATAGTGGCTAGCAGTGAAATCCAGGACGCGCGTTCCGTCCTATTTATATCGAGGCAATCCTCACAGGATGCACATATGCCAACATGAGACTGATCAATTGCAGTCCTAAATAACAATGGGAGGATACAAGTAAAACAACACCAAGTGAACTTAAACTTCACCCCATTGCACAAGCAGGTGGCTATCAGGACTCAGTAGCTAAGTGGATAACGCAATGGCGTTTGAGGCGAACGGTACTGGGTTGGAGTCCCGGAGTGAAAATCAATTCTGAGATGCAGGTACATCCAGTTGACGAATCCCGGATAGGATGAAACGCTCATCCTGGATTCCACTACTATCCACTATCCATCTTCGTTTGTTTTGTTTGAAAAATACTACTACCAATTATTATTACTATTATCAATATTGAAAAGAAAAGAAAAAGTGAAAGCCCATTGGTCTATTGAAAATAACGAAGACGTTTAAATGGGGAAAATTTTCTCTTCGATAATATCATTTTTTTGAAAATGTACAATCCTATTTATAGGTAATAGATTTGACTGGGGTACCTAGCCTGTCGTATGCCCTGATGGTGTTCTCGTAACTTTCGGGTTGCCTGGTCTGCCAAGGGCGATGGGACAGTGCATGATGCTATTGTTGTGTGCTAGGTTCAAAGAGAACTGTATGTTATATGCATTCAAATCCGCCCCGTCATTGTTCCTATTTGCCCCCAAATGCCCTGGTACGGCCGAGAGTGGGGAGAGTCCGCTCTCCCTCTCGAAATGCTCTCACATGGCCACGTGTATATGGCCTCTACCAGGGAAATCCTACTCATTGCCTTCTCGTGGTGGAGGTGTTGTTTACGAAATTGTGAGGACGAAAAGCGAACGTCCGGCACTTCAACCGGGTTGGTGGACATGGGAGTTGGAAAACCCTGATTCCAAACCAATGGTGCACTTGGGCTCCAATATCCTGAAGTGACAAATGGCGTTGGCCACCGGCTTCCATGGGACTGCATCTCCTGACGTTTCTCCACTACCTTGTGGATCAGACCTTCAGGTCGAAGGCTACGGGTGTGACCCCCTAAGAAAACCACCTGCTTCGGTTTGGGCACCCGAGTAGTATCACAGCCCTTACACGTATCAAATGAGATTTGTGTGGCGCATATGTATTTGGTGCCTCTTTTTACCAATATCTATTTGTTAAAATAAATTAAATAATAAATAATAGATTTCAAGTATTGAACAAATATGAGTATTGCATCATTTAGAAAAGTAATCAAAAATCATCAAGAACTTATGCTATGTAATAGTTTTGGAAGCAATTAAAGGTAATAATCTATAGAATAAAAGTTAAAGATAACTGTATGCTTTATAAAGGGAGAGAAGAAGGCAATAGTTAATATTTGTAATTTGTAAAATTCAAGGGGGTGGAAAGACTTGGAGAATAAGGGATCAAATATGACTCTTCTGTACATAGAGGTCAGGTTTAAAATGGTGAATTGCTGTAGCCTCGGTTGTGTACAAACTCCCCATCCAAACCTTTTTTGAGCTAGTTCTTCTGAATCTGTACAGGATTTTGAATGACGATCCATGTGTTGTAGTGTGACCCAAGTTGATCATGTGTTCAAGAATTCAGTTGTTGATCGATTCTCATTTTTCTCTAGATAGCCATGCACGTTAGTGCTCGGATATTTGTTTACCAAGTTCACACTTTATATGGCCAATATAACCTGCTCCACAAGAGCAAGTAAACTGATAAATGCACATTAAGGTGGTCCTAAGTTGCAGTTTTTCCTCGACACCTCTCTTAAATGAGTTTCTTTCTAAAAAAAAAACATTTCGGAGCTCTGCTAAATAAAACGTCTTTCTCAGTAATCTCGATAGTTTATTCTTTAATATCTCAGCTACTGTATCTACCTTGAATTCAATGTTCAAGAATAAAACTTTCTTCGGGACTGTGGATGTATCTTCAACTTGATGTTTTATTTTTAGACTACTACAATATTGTGTTCATTCACTATTGCTTAATGCCTTATACTAACTGCTCATTAATAAACCTTTTCAAAATAGAACAAACTACCTTGATTAACCAGTTCGATTTTAGAAATTACACTTATTCATTTGCTTTTTTTGTGGAGGTAGGCACATTAGTTGTTCATGGGAATACTTTTTTCAACACATTAGTAGAGTACATTTACCAATACAGTTCAGTGAAGGATCATGGAACATTATTAAATATTATATTGCACCATATATGGTTGACCATAAATATGTAACATCATACTAGCTATTCGATAATAGTTAATGATACAAACTAGCCTATTGAAACGTATGTATATACATACACTTCATGATGTATTGAAGAAGCTTTAGATGTGCATAATCTAAAGTTTTGATATGGTTTATCTACATTATATTGTTAATTAATGAAATTCCAAATCACTTAAATGATGTCAGTTATTCCGAGATTAAGTTCCTTTTGTAAATATTTTCACTGTCTAGGTTTGATTTGTTGAAAAACCATAAACATATTCTACTGAAATAAAAGTATGGACAGTTATCTCATGTGTACTATGTTCCTTGTTAATGTTTACAAGTGTAGAAGTAGGTTGAATGAAATTTGACTGTAGTCAAGCTAAAATGTGACATCAGCTCACAAGGTCATTGACTGTTAAGTTGAGTTATGCAAGTGGGTACAAACTATCTAGCTGGAATCCTCTCGATTATCATAACTAATGATTGAATACGTTAGGAAATAATGGCTTAGAATAGGTCAAAATAGCACAAATACATTTACTCTAGATTTTGAGCTCTAATATACCTTCATGTATACCCAACGTTTAATCTTATTATTATTTCTATCTCTTTTCTAATATTCACTTTGTTGTTTTCAACTCATTGTGCTAACGTGGTATAGGAAGTGTTATATTCTAACGAAAAATAAAGGAGTAGTAACTGCTAGGAATTCTTCTTGGATTATTATTACATATATTGTTATGAGATAATTATTAAACAACTAGAATATACATATGTTCCCATTCCATTTATTATAAGCTTTTATTTGACCTATTGACTACTATTATACGATTTACTATTCTTAACTTATTCCATATTTATTAGTTACAGTCTCCTATACTTAAACGCAATTTGGGGTTTAGTTTATCTAATAATTATTTTTCATTTTATGGTGAGATGTGGTCTGGTTTACTTGTATATAAGTCACGTATGTCTGAAATAGACGACTTAAACAGTAGAGGCTTAGATTGCATTCTGGACCGAACGGGTTGGATTAGGCCAGAAGTTGCTATACAGAAGACCAATAAGGCCTGAGAGTTGACTCAAGGCTGCTCGTACTGGTTAACGCATGATTGGTTTAGTACATGGACAAAGTTATAGAAGTTGGTGTTCTAAACAACGATTTTGTCACCTGATATTTGACGGGTCATAGGACATAATAGGAAGTTTGGCCAATGTACATTTTGTGTTAGACTGTACATTAATTATAACTAACAAACCGTGTAAGAAATATTTGCATCAACATTTTTTTAAATGTTAGAATTTATCTCAAAATCCTTTGTGTTTGAAGTTTTCTTTACAAAATAATTATATATACATTATGTGTATATATCTATATATTTTCAGTCTTGGATAGAACCTGATTGTCGAGCTCATGTAATTGCCAGATTACCAAAACTTACTACATACAATCGAAGTGTCATTGATTCAGAGGAACGTGAAAGTGCTGAACGAGAATTTGTTCGATATTATGGTCAAATTGATCCAGATAAACGTCCTAATCGGTTAGTTATAAAAAGTTGAAAATTAACTTTTATAAGTTAATTAATAAAATTTTATAAGAATCAGGTTAATTTATAGATTGTATTTGTCACAAATAGGGTAACATTAAAAATCTAAAAGCACTGAACAACTATTTCTACATAATATAAGACTAATTACAATTGATTGATCACTGGGTGGTGATCAATGTCATGCTTGTCTAGTCCTTATTAGTGCAGATCGAATGCTATCGATCATGTTGCAATGTGGCCACCAGTCTAGGTGACTCGACAGGGAGCACCAGTTCCCTCAAGATTACAGGTACATCTTGCTGACGAGTGCCAAGTAGCACGAAATCCGGGTCCAGGGTTTCCTGTTGACTACCTCCAACCACCATCTAATAAGACTAATTATCAGAGTTCACATTTTTGAAAAGTTTTATATTCGCATTGAAACAATTATTAAATCCTGTTTGATTTTCAATGGTACTCCAATTCAGATTAATATGTGATCGTTTCAACTTAGGAAATATGACGAAGGCTTTTAAAAGTTTAGATATTTATTGTATACTAACATCAAAAAGTATTTATATTCTGTTATAGTTTTGGATGTCATTAGTAATAGGGCGAGACTCTAATTTATGGACGACCTTTGAACGAATTTTAAATGACCTTGAGAAATATTAGCCCATCAGCAAACAGTCAGTGTAGAGTAAAAATATATTATAAAAAAAACAAGGAAATAAAGTGGATACACTTCTTATACGTGGTTCAAAAACTTTTCTAGGTTAGAAAGAGGTTCAGAAGTTCTAAAATCGTAATGCTTGCAGTAGAAGAAATCATCCATATGGCTACAGAATAGTCGGCCTCTAGAGCCATGATTAAGTCTCAAAAACTCTTTCAGCCTCGACCATATAGCTTCAATATTGCTTGTGTGCACTCCGGTTGTTGAGTGCACAAAATACTTGTGGATAACCACATGATGCACATAATCAAAGCCTATGTAGGAGTCTGTACACTCTCCAAACATCTGTATATATTGGAGTACCTGGCTGCAGCCAGTGTTACTTGTACTTTTATTATCCAGTTCGCAATAATTGTCGTAATTTGCCTTAGTCAGGAATTATATATGGGATTTTCATCACGAACTGACATCAGCTATAATGCCAGAAATTTATTTAGCCAAATGGATGAAAGGCTTTCGCATTAAAATCCGAGATCTATTATCTTATGCCTGATTGATTCGTCCACAAATTATAATCTCGCCATTTTATTTGATATAACCGCTCAATTATCACGTTTCGTACAAAATTCCCTGTGAACCGATCGTGCGTTAGCATTAAACACTGAAGTTGGCGCCGTAACCTTGAAATCCCTAAAACGCTTCGGATTGGCTCGTCCATGAATTAGAGTCTCGCCGTAGGATGTTCACATGACTGATATAGTCGTGAAAAATTTCACTTTTTAGAATTTCTCTTAATTAGAATAAGAAATCAACTGTGGTAGTAGTTTGTTATATTCTACCGTAGTCCAAATGTTCAACTGATAATGTGTACCTACAAATAAACGTGCCTGAACCAGCTTCTTGAGTATGAAAATCAAGAGTGAATGAACAACTTTTATTAATCAACTGAATCCAAGTATATGCATAAACTTATTCGTAAACATAAATCTGTTCCTTCAAAAAGTAACCAATATTATTAGTATTTCTCAATCACCATTTAACCTTGATCTGATATGTATGATTGGCCAAGTGTATCATAGTCACAAGTACTTTTCATTATTTCAATTGTTGAGATCATGAGTCAATTGAAGCTAGACCATCATGGAAAACCTGAAAGCACTGGATGGCCATTTCGTTCTATTGCGGGACTCCTCAGCAGTGCGCACCCACGATCCAGCCTCGCAGGATTCGAGACCAGTAGGTCTTCAATAGTGACTGAAGATAGGTCCTGGGTTCGAATCTCGCTAGTCGGGATCGTAAATGTGCACTGCTGAGGAGTCCCACAATAGGACTGCGAGTGAAAAGGAAGCTTTATTGGGTAAACCAGATAGATAGATATATACCAGAAAAAAATATATATATATATCCTTTAGAAATCTATGCCACACATTCAACCAATGGCGTATATCTCACTCTTTAGAAAAGGAAACCGAATCTTAGCTAATAGCGTGTATCTATCAGTTAACTTACATCTGATTGATGAAACCGTATCAAAATGGCAGGTCGATTGATGGTGTAAATCTTCATCGATTAAATTAATGTTGGGACATGTATTATACATGCCCAACAGTTACTCACATTGGTATTAGGAGTAAATTAAAAATAAACTAAGGTTTGACACATTCAAGACATAATATTAATCCATGAAATCATTGACTAGTGATTTCATTCATATTACCAGGTACAAACTTTTCGATTAGACTCCATCTGATGAATGTGGTCAGTTGTGTTCTTAAACTCTTGGTGACATAACACAAAGTCGATTATTAATTTGACACAACTTTCATATAATTTATTTCCTCTTTTCTAACTAATATTTCATACGTCTAGCATTGTTTTTATTTTGTACTATCATAAATATTACTGTTACTGATTTACTACATAAATCTTTTTAGTTTATTTTTTCTGTTCTAATTTGGTTTGGCGAATTAGGCTAATACACCTTTAGATAACTAATTCACTGAGTGAGAATTATTAACTTATTATGTAAAATGTCAACGACCAATAACTTTCGTATACTTCCTATAATAATAATCATGTGCATTCACCAATAACTAATTTCCAAGAAGAATTCCCGGAGTTCTAGTGAGGAGCGGTGACTAGTGGAGTTCAACTATATCGAATGAGTGAGGCAGTTACTCACCGCAGAGAATGAGAGATGGTCTCACAATATCCCGGGTTAATCGAAATTAGATATGTAAACAGCAGGATCCCAACTCAATGGTCTTAAGTTTAAACGCTGTTCATGAAACTCGGAAGACCTAGGTTCGATCCCCTAACGGGTCGGGAATGCACATTGCTGAGGAGTCCCGTGTTAGGATGAAACAACCTTAAGTAGTTGTCTAATTAACATCAACCCATCATGTAAGCGATAAAATTCATCAATCTCTACAAATCGTCTATAGTACATCTTTAAAAAAGTTATTCATTGAAAAAATGTATAACTTCATTCACACTAAAGAATTTATTTAACTACCCAACTTAAATTTTTCTTATTGTTTTCCTTCATTCTATTGTCTTCTCCTTTGAGAATAATTTATATGTAGTTGATTTAATGATTAATTTAATTTTTCCATAATCTATAACTTAATTTTAGTTATTGGGCTCTAGAACGTCGACATGGTCGACTTCAACCATTAGCTAACATTGATTTATCTCCAAAACAGCATATTCGTGTACGTGTCACAATGTCAGGGAAAGAAGTAAGTATGATTGGGTTATTATCTATTTATTGATAATTTTTTTCAAGTGTTTTTGTGGCAAAAATCACAAGATCCACCAATTGGTCTCATGTTTTTATTATTATCGGGTAGTTTAAGTCTTCATCGAATGATACCAAGAGATGATCTATGTTAATCTTTATATTTTATAGTACTGTGAAATATCCAATTTTACTTTGAATATATCAACACAAGGAACATATCGAATTCCAATGATTTATGACTCAATATAGCACTACAGACGTAAACGGTTTGACCTCGAGTTTCAAACTTCCTGACAATTTCCTCTCACATAATCGGTTTCAGGTGTAGAAGAAAATGATAAGGCATGAACAATTTCAAAATTATTAGGAACTAACAATTTTTTGGGAATAATTTCTTTATGATTGTCACAAATTAAAAGTAATTGAAAAAGCATTTAAAATTACCCAATGAACACTGAGAACAATTGATCCACTGAATATTAACTAAGGTCATGTTTGTCTAGTCCTTTTTAATGTATTGATTGAATTCTATCGATGAAGTTACAATGTGGCTACTAGTAATTAAGTAAATTGATATCGTGTGCACTATGTTTTGATCTTAAGTAGTTGGAAGTTGTTAGGAAACCCTGAACGTAAGTTTCGTGCTAACTAGCATTTATCAGCAAGGTTTACTATGCATTCTTGAAGCAATTAATTTCCTACCTTTGGGATTCGAGCATGCATCATAGTTTATTATATTACCACTGTGCCAGCCATCCGACTTACGATGGACCACCTTTATGAATAAGTTAGTTCTACTGATTGATCACTGAGTAGTACTCACTGTAATGTTTTTGTAGTAGTCGGTGTTAACACTATACAGTGAAGCGTGTTTATTTGTGTTATATCAGCATCCTTCGCCTAAAAAGTGCGGCTCAAAACCGAGTTCACTAACTTGCTGTTGATAAATGATGTGCATAATCAATAAGGTAATTATTTAGTCTATCTATTTATCTCATTTATCAGATACGGAGTTGTGTACCTAATGTTGTAAAATGTGACTTTTAAAAATAAAGAATACTTACGGGTTACCAATATTCGACCATAGGTGTCTTCAAAACATTCTCGTGTATTTTGGAACCAATGAGTAAGCAATGTCTGGGTTAGAGATAAGTTATTAGGTAAGGATAACAAATCAATTGGTGAAGTAGTAAATCCTCATCTGTTGAGGTGGTTGAGACATGTGCAACCACCATCTACCTTGACGGACGATGTTATCTGGTGTAGAAGTAGGTCCTAAGAATAATAGGAGTGGCCAAACTCGAGTAGGTGGAGTGGTGTTTGAACCTATGATCTAGTATCCAAATGTTGAGTGTATTAATCACTGAACCACTACTCCCTATATGACTGTTCCACACCACATGACCATTGCACCGTACACAATGTTGGTCAAATCTTAACAGAATACCTTTAAAGAGGGGCTCAATATCATAGCTATTACGTGACAGTTCAGTTACAGCTGAAACTTATCTAATATTTCGTTTTTCATATCTGAACTAGCAGTCAGTCAAACGTGTAACCTCTATTCATCTACATTTTTGTGTACAATTTTTATAATAAAAAAAACCCTGAATAAAACCAAGTTTTTCTTTTCATTGTTGTAAATATACACTGTTGAGGAGTAATACCCTTCTAAAACGAAATAACTATCCAATACTTTCTAATTCTCAATAGTTGTCTAACTAAGATCAGTTCATAATTTGAAACTATACAAATTCTACAATCTTCATAATATTCCCCTTTATTATTATTATTAATAAAGGCTGTTTCCATCTTATACATCTATTCTAAATGTATAAAAACTGACAATATTTATTCATTATCTATCAATTATGTTTTAGTTTTACATGCAAAATTAGAATGATTTGCCTATTTTTCTATTTCTATGTCTTTTTCTCGCGCCACAAAAATTTTTTTTTTAAAAACATTTGATTGGTTGATTGCAACTTCAAGGTCAACCCATCATATGTTTATTATTATTATTATTATCCTATTCATCAGATCACGTGAAAAACCTAAAAAAAATACTTTTAATCAACTAAATGTGAATAATGATCAAGCTTATTTTTATTTTGACCTTAACCTATTTCTTCTTTATTTCATTTGAAATTTGATCGGACAGAAAAGTTTGTATCATGAATTAACTGTAGCTAGAAAATGATTCAAAATTAAAATGTATTAGATAGCTATTTCGTTTTCAGTTATGTTAGATTGATTTAGATCAGATTAAAGCATATTCCTTACAGGGATTGTGTTGGGTTACGTTGTTTAGCTATCCTCCTAACCAATTAGCGCTGGCGGAGACTTAGAGAACACTCTAGAACTTTCTTATGTAAAAATTATAAATATGCTAACATTTTTTTTCTTATTGTAATTCCTACTTCTATCCAACTCTTTTATTTGGAATATAATGACATTCCTGTTAAACTGTGTTGTGATTTGGGAACTTATCGAGTAAAGTAGCATCCAGTAATACAAAGTAATAGGAATAGCTGGTTTATAACAGTATGTGACTCTTTATCAATACATATATATATGACCCTATCATATATGATTGAAAGTAGGAGCTTTGGTCTTGTATGCAAGCGCCAAATGAATCTCGAGTAGGAAAAATTATGACTGACGGAGTTGAATTATGTCAAGGTATAGCTAAACCAGTTATTATTATTGATAATAATGGATGATAGTTATGCTACTACTTGATGAATTGATCAGAAATTGAAAATATGAATCTCATTACACTTCAACTTAATGGTTTAAAAGTAGTAACTTATTTGTTGTACAACCTGAGTTGTGGGTATTAGGTTTTATTCCTGGCGAGTTAGTGAGCATGAGATACTCAAGAGTCCTTAACACGAAATATGTGTTCAGTTTCCCCCTGGTTTCAACAGTTCCCTCAGCTAACATTGTCAGTTCATCGTACCAACATTTACATTAAACTAATCTTGACACCCTGTTCTAATAAATAATCTCATAGGTTAAGTTTGTTATGTAAACCATAAATCTCGACAATCTTTGCAAATCCCTTACATGCTAATAATAGTCATGTGCTTGCTAGTGACTTATTTCGAGAGATAGTTCCAGGATTTCTTGTGAGAAGATGAGATCAGTAGACTTCAACTCTGTAGGGTGATAAGAAGATGCTCACTTATGGACGTTGGATCATGGTTGCGTTATGTCGTCAATTAAATGAAGTTAGATAATACAAACCTGTTCTTCGGTTCGTCCATCCGTCGAGATTGTAGATGCTCACTGCTGAGGAATCCCATTCTGATACGAAACAGTTATTTAGTGCTTCTTGGTTTCCAGTGGTTATCTAATATCAGTTCATTATCCAAACTGCAAAATATCACAAGTGTTCTTTCTGTCGTCTAAAGGAGACTCACTATGAACTAGTGGTCTGACTAATACAATAAATTGAGAACTCACAGAAGCTAGAAAATTTGGTATGGTTCAGAACTAGTATTAAAACAAGGTTCACATACGTTGCACAGTCGACAAATATTCAGACATACTAGGCAGTTAGTTATTTTATTTCATTCTGAAGCTTCATTAATTACGGATAATGCTATGGAAGGTCACGCTTAATATTATTAAAAACTATTTAATCTGATCAATTTTTAATAGTACCAATCATTTATTATTATTATTATTATATGAGTACTTGTTACAAGTTTCACAGAGAACTCAAATGTATTTTTCCTAACTAATGCACATGTGTTCCAGGTTTCAAATTCCTTATAACGACTGACTAAACCTTTTTAGAATCAGTTAGTTGGTGTTCTATTGTAATGTAAGACACTTGAAATCATATTATATTTCTCGTTAGTTGTTTTGATAAATATTTGTCATCAAAATTCAACCGTCTGATCCTTACCAGGATACATGACTATTGTGGGGTTAATCTAATAAACACTATCATTTAACTCATATTGAAAAACGTCATGATAGTCAATTATCATTTACGTAGAGCCTAAGACAGATGCCTGTTGGACTCATTTGCCATACCATATTAGCTCGATATAATGGAGTTAAAAAAGATGTATATTAAAAGAGATCAAATTAATTTAGTAGCGATGACAGTAAAAAGGTCTAAATATTGAGAATAGAATTTGGAAAGGCTGATTGGAAAGGATTATATAAATAACTTCGAAATCGAGACAAAGATAAATAATGAATGCATCCACGCCACTGTAGACAATTCTGAGTCATGTCATCCATTCTCCAATCACTGATCGCGATTATCACACAGAGCCCAACCAGGTAATCCTCACATGCCTACATAGAACAAATTAACAGTCAATAACTTTATGGATTAATGTTATGTATTGGTTTACCCACTCGAAGTTTCTTTTCCAACCAACGACTGCACCATGAAACTTTCCACTATCATGGTGAGGGATGTTTAGGGATATGTAACTTATGTCCCAACTCTAACCTTACTCAGCGAAAATTTATAATCCCATCAATCGATTCGGTACCTTTCCTTAGTAACTGTGTGCTTAACCTTAAGATTACTCACTCCGGTTATTCCTCAGAACGTGAGTAATACTTGAAAGACATCTATGATCTAAAACCTGTAACGTATACATATCACGATAGCATGTGGGGATAATGTCTATGAGATCACTTTTGACATTTCACAAACTAAATTTTAAATTTATTGGAGTTCACAATCTCCCATTATTGAGATTTCAAATTGTATTTAATCAATTCCTGCTTACATAAGGGCAATATCAATTTATCCGGTAGCCAACAGTGATTGCTTGATTTCCATGCTGAATATTATTAATAGGAAAAATACACACTCTTATGAATAATAATGAATATCATAAATAATGAACAAGTTTTATACTCACTTTGATCAATAGTGGTTTTATGTAATAATACCCTAACATTTGAAGCAATAAATACTGAGTTTTGTAAACGTCATCAACACTGAAGATTCAGGTGTATACCTAAAAAAAGGGACAAAACCCATTTTATTTCTAAAATACTTTTCGACCTTGTTAATAAAAATACTATCAGTATAGGGTTGTGGGAATTATTAAGTTTTTGATTGAGATCATGAACTGATTGATGTTAGACCATGCCGTGACCAGTGGAGATAGGTATCTACTTCAGTACAATGGGAGTTAGTCGCTCAATTTCATGGATTGGTTGAGGCTAAACATTAACACCATTGGATACTGGATCAGTGGTCTATAGAGGTTAAGCGTTCGCGCGCGAGACTGAAGGCCGTGACTTCGAATCTCACAAGCAGGATCGTCGATGTGCACTACTGAAGAGTCTCATTCTAGGACAAATCGGCCGTCCAATGTTTTCAGGTTTTCAATAGTGGTTTAACATCAGTCGGTTCATGATCTCAATCAAAAACTTAATAAAATATATTATCCAACATATTATTACATCATTCCTCATGATTTCATTTTTCTCTCTCTCTCTCTCTTTCTCTGATTTTCAGGTTTGGTATAATATAAATGTCAACTTAAAAGTATCACAAGCTAAACGTCATTTCTGTAATTTATTCAATATTACTAATCAACATGAAATTAAACATTTGAAATTATTTTATTTTGATCAAGTTATGTCACAAATTCAAGGTCCAGAAGAATTAAAATATCCAAATCGTAATTTATATTCATATCAAATAGAGACTGGTGATTTATTCGAATTAGTACGATATCCAGATTCTTGATAATGGAAAATAGAACTTTTACAAAAGTACAATATGATATGAATGTTTGTGTGTGTGTGTGTATGTATGTATGTATGTATGTAATTTTGTTAATCCTTTCTCTCTTTTTTTGTGCAACACGCCTGTTTGTATAATAGTCGTTGATTTGTTTGTTTTCATTGTCATCGATTCCCCCCTCCTCTCTCTCTCTCTCTCCTACTGGTCAGTTTTCCTCTTTCCCCCATTTGTCATATTTACGCCCCATTCACAATATAATAGTGTATATTCATCCGTTCATTCATTCATTTGATCTTATTAATTGTGAAATAGTGGTTTATTGATTAAGGTGTTCCACCTTCAATCTTGTTCATTTTTATTCATTTCCATTGGAGCAGCTGAATTGTATAATCGTTATCATCATTTTGAATCCCTTTATCTATTGAATAAGGTTATCGGTTAAAGTCTTAAGTACTTGATTAGTGACTTACATTGTCTATGTCTATTTGTGAATGTATGTGTAAATATGTACTACATTATAATTGTTCTCTTATTACCTTTTATTTATTCATTCATACAAGATGTGATAGACTCCAAGTTTTTTTCTTCAATTCTATTGATTAGTTAGTATTTTTGACAAATCAATCATGATCATTTTCGATCATTTTGCTTTTAAGGTACAATGTTATGCATACATACTCAGTGTATATATGTGTGTGTGTATATGTGCTCTTCTGGCAGTTTTGTGATTTTTATTTTCCTGTTTTCTTTTGTTTGTTTTTGAGTTTATCTTTCTTTTTTTTCGTGTTATTTATTTGTTTGTTTATTTCCATACATCTTAATTCCTTGATGAATATAAATAAAATGAATTCATCATTATATTTCAAACTTTCTTTCTCATCAGCTGCAAACAACTTAAATTCGCATTGGGAATATCATTTTAAAGAGTTTCATATACCGTAATCAATGAAGTTTAGTTCGTTAGGTGATATAAATAACAAGAAAAGGAAACAACATGCTTAACGTAATCGTGAAGTTTTCAGTATGGGGCTGTGGAAATTGTTGAATTTCCTTGAAATCATGAACTGATCTAAGTTACACCGCCACTGAAGACTTGAAAGCACTGGAAAGCCGTTAGAAAAGGTCGACCCTAAAAATGTCACACCTCACGGATTTCTATCTCAGGCGGTAAGGCCTTTTGCATAACGGAGCTAACATGTTAAAAACTTCCCACAAAAAGGTCGTGCATAACCGGCCTCAAACAGTTGTCCCTTGAATTCTGGTCACGCTCCCACGTCGTTAAGACCAACATTAATCCGACTTCCTTTTCGTGTTTCTCAAGAAATGCCTTTACATGGTGTGGGCAGCCGGAAAGTGACATGAGCCCTCATACCCGTAACAGCACCCGGGGCCAAGTCGACCACATTCAAATCCCTCCTACACCTCCAAATAAATCTCTTATCTCCACGACTAACCCTTCTCACGTTACTTTATCACCTTGCGCCGCTAATGCAAACGATCCGAGTACGTGGAACGTTATTCATGGTCTCCTGAAACCACGCTCTAAACTACATCTGCCAGCTTTTAACACCCGAACATTGTGCCAAATAGGACAACAAGCTTCCTTAGCTAGGACTTAAGAACCTCGCACCATCGATGTGTGCTGCGTCTCCGAAACGCGCATACAGGATCGGAGTAGCGTCATTCATTTGACCTCACCATATCAAAATAAAGATGAGTTTTACAGAAAGCTTTCCGACCTCTTCCAAAAAGTTAGGTTCCGATGTATTAATAGTGGCTGGTGACTTTAATGCTCAAGTAGGTAAACTAAGCGAAAAGGAAAGACACCTGGATGGATCTTATGTTTTCGTCGCTCAAAGAACAGACAATGGCGATTGTCTGTTGCAGCTGTGCTCAGATAACCGCCTGTTTCTAGCAAATACTAAGTTTAAGCACAAGGAAAGACATCTTTTAACATGGCGACCCCCGAATTCGTCCCAACATTGGGCCCAACTAGATCACATCGCTATCAGCCACCGATGGAGGGGCTCGATAGAAGACTATTACTCGTTATTGAGCACATGCTTAGATTCAGATCATACTCTAGTACGAGCGCGTATTCGTCTAGGTCTTACTGGATGTAGGAAAGGGGCTGCAAGGGAACCCCTTATGGTCCTACTTGATGATAGCCAAGCTAAGAATACATTTCAGGAACAACTAGGAAAACAGTTAGGCAGCCATGTAAGTGATGCCCACCCCGAGGCAGTGTGGAATGACATCCGAAAAGCTGTGGAAACAGCAGTGATATCTGCTAGTAAGGTAGACCATAAGGTTGGGGAGAAATAATGAATCTCAGCAGCATCTACCGCACTGATAGATGCCCGGAAACTCATTCCATCTGGCTCTGAACATGACGAAGAGCGGAGTCAGCTTAAGCGCAGGCTGATTAGAAGCCTACGGAATGACTGCGAACAGTGGTGGGTAGCGAAATCGAGAGGGATAGAAAAGACAGAGACAATAGGCAACAGCAGACAACTGTTCAGACTTGTCAAGGAGACCGGTATTGGGAACCCAACTGTTAGCGAAGTTATCTCGGAATAAGATGGACATATTATTCATTCTCAGTGTAGGAGATTGGATCGATGGGCAGAACGCTTTAGTGATCAGTTCAACTGACCTTCAGTTACATTTCGGTTTCCCACGATTTCCAGTCGACCTGAATGACAAATTGATGTAAGTCCTCCAAATTTTTACGAAGTTGTAAATGCTATAGGAAATCTGGAGCGAGGGAGAGCAGTAGGCCCTGACAGGTTTACCCCTGAGATTTTGAAGGATGGTGGTCCAGTATTAGCAGTGAGATTAACTGAGGTCTTAGGCAGAATCTGGGAACTGGACGTAATGCCAAATGACTGGTCTCAATCCTTAAACTGTGGCATTCTATGAGAAAGGACAAAAGTCCTCTTGTGGCAGTCGCAGAGGAATCAGTTTGACTAATATTGTCCAAAATATTAGCTTCAATAATACTTCGACGCCTAACTAAAGCTCGTGAAGAGCAGACATGAGAAAACCAGGTTGGTTTTCGATCTGGACGTGGCTGTATGGACCAGATATTCACACTACCTTAGGTCCTAGTACATAGACATACATTCAGAAGTCCCACAGCAGCAATATTTCTCGACCTTAAGGCGGTATTCGACTCTGTTGATCGTGAGGTTCTGTGGCAGTGTTTGTCACTGAAAGGAGTACAAAAAAATACATTAACCTTATAAAGGCTATCTATTCGAATACCACTGGCCCCTCGCAATGCAAAATGTTGTCTCAGATTTGGGTTGCATCGGACCCAGAACTACTGATAGGGGGTGAAGTAGTTGAGCGTACCAACCACTTCACTTATCTTGGGAGTCTCATCAGCCCTTGCGGTCTGGTGTGTGATGAAATGTCAGTACGAATACAGAAGTTTCGACTAGTTTTTGCCAACTTGCGTCGGCGAGATATCCGTCTATCAACCAAAAGACGGGTTTACTGCGCAGTAGGTACGCCGTAGTGTCGAAAAAGCTTCTATAGTGTGGGGCAAAAACTTGGAGATCTACGAAAGCCATCATCCAGAAGATACAAGTGTTTATTAACAACTGTCTACGCAAAATATTTCGGATCCGTCGGTCAGACACTATCAACAACAACCGACTGTGAGAGAGAACAAATCAGATTCCATCAGAGGAAGAAATCAGGAAGAAGCGCTGGAAGTGGATAGGACTCACATTGAGGAAAGCACTCAACTGTATCACAAGACAAGCCCTCACATGGAATCTTCAAGGCCGAAGGAGGAGAGGAAGATCAAAGAACACATTACGCCGAGAAATGGAGACAGACATGAGAAGAATGAACAAGAATTGGATGGAACTAGAAAGGAAGGCCCAGAATGGAGTTGGTTGGAGAATGCTGGTCGGCGGCCTATGATCCATTGGGAGTAAGTAAGTTCGTTCCGTTCTACTTTGTGGCAGTGAAACATTGCCAGTAAGAGTAGAGGATATTCGTAGGTTACTAGTATTCGATCATAGGTGTCTTCGAAATATTGCTCGTATATCCTGGGACCATCGAGTAAGTAACACAGTTGTTAGGAAACGGGTACTAGGTAAGGATGGCAAATCAATTGATGAAGTAGTGAGACTTCATCACTTGAGATGGCTGGGACACGTGTTACGTATGCCCAACGGCCGACTGTCTCGACGTGCGATGTTCAATGGTATAGGAGTAGGTTGGAAGAAAGGTAGGGACGGCCAGACCAAAACATGGCACAAATCCATGAAGTCACTGACAAGTAGACTGAGCCATGTTGGTACGTGTAGACTACCTGGTTGGGATCCGCTGGATGATAGAAACCGATGGTTAGAGGTCCTGATTGACATGGCTCAGAATCTTTTGCAGTGGCGCAGGTGCATCCACTCTTTGTGTTCTCCCAAATTCTAATCTTCTGAATTCTTGCTGTCCCTTTCTTTTTTCTCCTTCTAAATTTATTTCATTGTATTATACTCTTTGAATAACATCTTTAATCCCTAATGTTTCCGATTACTGCTTATAGTCTTACTAACCCTACCACTACGGGATTTGAATCGACCACTGCATCTCTGTGCTAATGTGGTATGATAACTTGATACCAGGACGAAACGGCCGTCCAGTGCTCTCAGGTTTTCCATGGTGGTCTAGCTTCAATTGACTCATGATTTCAACTTGTGTAAAAAGTTTTCATCTTACATTGGTTTAAAAAGCACTTGCAAAAACAAACATTGCCGTTGTCATATCAACCATCTTTTATGATATGTGAATAATAATATTCTACTTATGATGATCATATTTCCATTTCCATAATTCAATAAATAAAGCGTGAATATTAATTATCATAGTGTTATAGACTAGTTTTATTTCATTCAATTAGCATTGTGTGTATGTGTATGTGTATGTGTATGTGTGTGTGTGTGTTTGACTGTATCCATGTTGTGGTTGTCTACTATTTTCTTTTATAAAAAATGTTTAATCATTATTGCCTTGATATATTAAATTGTGAATGGAATATTTTCTTTAGTTGAATAATTAGTTATTCAAGTGTAACCCCCATTGGCTAATAAAATAAACCACGCCCGTATATGTTTATATATATATCCATAGATGAGTCATGTATTAACTCCATTTATGGTCTTAAACGATTTGTGAATCAATATATGGGGTTGTGGAGATATTGTTGAGTTGAAATCGATATTATGAATAGATCAATAATGGATCACTATTGAATACCTGGAAACACTGGATGGACTGTTTCGTTTGAGACTGAAAGTCCTGGGCTTGAGTCCCGAGTGTATAAACGTGTATGTATATTGATGAAGAGTCCCGTACTAGGACGAAACGGTCATCCAATGCTTCCAGGTTTTCAATGGTGGTCTAGCTTTAATTGACTCATGATGTCAACTATTAAATTACTTTTTGATTGAGATCATGAACCGATTGATGCTAGATCACCATTAGAAACCTGGAAATATTGGACGGCCGTCTCGTCCTATTGTGGGACTCCACAACAGTGCGTATCGACGATCCCGCTCACGGGGCCTTCAGTCTCGCATGCGAACACGCAGTCTCTAGACCACTGAGCCGGCATCGAACGGTGTTCGTGTCTAACTTCAACTAAATCGCACAACCACCTTTCATTGTACTGAGGTAAATACCTGTCTCTACCAGACACGGATTAGCTCCACTGATCACTGCTTCTCACTATAACTCCGAGAATTCCCTCACGAAGCTAGTCACTAGTGAGCACGTGGTAGTTATCAATATAAGGGTTGTGGAGATTATTAAGTTTCTGAGTGAAATCGTGAACCGATTGATGTTAG